AAGTTACATATACTAAATAGCGGCAACCTATACCAACGAACTAACTAGTCAGCACCAAACTCATCGAAGTCAAACTAAAGTCATTATCCCCTTCAATTCTCAAAAGCTTTCCACGTCAAAATCACATCGTTAGCCATTATGCCTCCCGTGATGAAAGATTTCAGCAAGGCCACGTCCTCCTCTTTTGCCATGATGCATATAATTCTCCTCCCTTGAAGTTTCATACCTACACGAAACCATAATGCCGATGCCACATTTTGATGAGGTGACCAAAAGAAGGTTTAACACTGATTGTTAATTACAATGAAAAAGCAAAGGCTGTCAAGCCAAAAAGCCATACAGACACTAGCTAGGTAAGTTTCTTTATGATCTACATAGACAACTCACTCAAAGGGAATTTAGGCCTACAAATTCTGCAAAGAGTCAGAAACAAAATAAACATCACAAAATTTCCGAAAAAAATTATCACCAGTCTTGACAACCACATCATATAATATTTTGGAACAACCCACGTCGTATTTTCAAAAGCCAGCGGAATTTTTGTGCTTGAAGTACAAGAGGAAAAACAATATGTGTGCAGGTTGAATAGAAATTATTGCAAACATAAGTAAAATGATTTAACATAAACAAAACAAGGTAGCCGAAATTACAAATATAGTTAAACTCACCATCCATGAAGATGCCTTGTAGAAGATATAAACAATGATATTGGTTCAAGGCCCCAGTAATCCACAAATATTCAACAGCATTTTGGACTGGCAAAATACAAATACTTGGAAAAATAATAAATAAACTGAATCAAATGTGTTGATGATATGTAGGATTTGTCTTATTGTACCTCCATTCATTATCAATTAACTCAAATAACAAACATCTCATCTTAGTGAAACCTCAAGAATCACAGTGAAATGATTTTTATCGACAAAGGCTCTGGTGATTGCTACGCTCTAGGTAGGAATTCTAAAATAGTTTCAAGGTTCAGACTTTTGATTTGAAGACACAGGGACCGTAAAAGTGTTCTTAAAAGCTCCAAAAATTGATTTTAAGTTAGGGTTTTGGGCTTCAAAAAATGATTTCATTACTTATTTGTAACCATAAATCACAGCTTACCAGCGACAAATCGAAGCAAAACACGATCAGAAGAGGATCGTCAAGAGACCTTCAGCCTTCAAAGCTCAAACTTCGTCTCTATTTATAAGACAATCACCAGGAAGAGGAAGATGAGGATAAATAGCCTCTTGTTCGATCAAAAATAAGAGAAAAAGGAAGGCACAGATTAACTTACCCACCGGGAAGAGCTCAAGCTTCGTCTCAAGTCACCAGGAAGAGGGCAATCATCGTTGAATGTAGAGATTAGGGTTCTTCTATGGGAATTTTTTGATGCCAGTTGAAAGCCCCGAGTTTAACTTATAATTATATTTTAATTAAAATCTTACTTGCTTAACAATTAGAGATGACCTGGCAGCCACCTAATAAGATTAAAATGTGGTGACTTGTTACATTTTGATTGGTTAGAGCATAAACGAGGTGGTGCTCCAGGTGTACCCAAGAATTCCTCTATAAGAGGTTATCATCAAAACCCCTATGTATAACATTAAACTAATTTTTCTTCCTTTTTTGGGGAGACACAATCAAGGTGTATATTTACTTCTGATACACAAATGCCATATATGAATCAGATTTATATACAGTGATATACATATAAATATAGAGTATGTATGTATGTATATCCAATATGTCGACATTTTCATTTCTTAAAGAGTATAAGATATGATGCTTCTAGGATGTGTTTATATATTCATGAAAAAATTTATAAAGCAAACAAAAAATATAGTTGGAATTCAACCAAATATAGACTAGAATATAGTCCTTTGTTACTATTGAATACCAAAAAATACATAATTTAATATAAGAACAAGTTGGGAGCTTAAATTTGATCGTAAATATAAAATCTTAATTCATTTTATTTCTCAAATTTATAATTTTTCCCCCAAAATATTCTTAAGGAGTTCCTATCAAAAGGTAATTCCAATATACTCCTCCAGTCATAAATATAAGACCTATTTCTTAGTGTAATTTACAATACAAAATGGGTCATATATTTAGAACCAGAGAAGTACATTATTAAAAATGATAGTTTAAAAAAATCAAGACGCATTTATTATAAATAATAAACTTAACTAATTTTCTTGATATTTGTTAGTTAGTTATCAAGCTCTTCTATTATTGTGACTTGAGAAATACGGGATAAATATATGAGAAAAGTTTTGTTATATGAAATGTGCTTATAAGTGATTTTAAACCCATCTTCCCTTGCTTGACGTCATATGCAAGCAAAGATAAGATAATAGTATTCTAAAATTTTCTAGCGCCATCAAAGTAATTCCGCGCATTTCCCTTTTTTGCCAGCTAATTCCATGTATTTCCGCTTATTCTTTTCTCTCCTCTATAAAATGAAAAGCTTTAACATCATAATCTTTAACAGAATTTAATTTCTGTATAAAAATGTCTTAAAGTATCCACTAAGATTCTAGGAGTATCCGATAAAAATGTCTTAAAAAAGTATTTCAATATCAATATAAATTAATTATTTAGAATAAATAAGTGTTGTTTTTCCTATAATATCATTATTAATCATATGTATTAGAACTATCATTTAATATAAATTCTTTAACGCATGCAATCATTATAACGAATACTTTGAAAAAAAAAAAAGGACAGATATGTGAGATGAGGTGGATTTATGTCTTATATTTAAGATTAAATTAAATCTCCAACTAACTTTTATATTAAAGACTGGAGATAGTATAAAGTATTGTTGTGTATGATTATATGATATAATACAATACCAATACATCAAACCATTTGAAGTATTGATGCTTCATTGGAGTGTTCTTTTAATTTACTTTGAGTACTAAAGGCAAACGATAGACTATTCCCAATTATGTCACTACATGTACAGGGTTGACATCTAAACTCACAATCACTTGATTAAATATTTTGGCCAATTTTACTATTTATAAATTATACCCTATGTAACCTATTACTTAGTAATCAGGAAAAGTAATCTAGCAAAAATGTAAAAACAATTGTTGTATAATTATTTTTTTTAATAAAGAATACGGGCTAGATATGCATCCTAATATTTAATAATTAGTGGCTTTAAGGAATGACTCAAAACAATGGCTACCTGCCTTAGTGGTAATAATGTCACCTTTAGATAAAGTTTTGAGTTTGAGTTGAGTGTTGATATAGTGGGGTGTGTGTGTGGTGTTTGAATTGTATAAACCAAACAAAAAAAGGAAGGCACTAAAACTGGCTAATGATATGTTTACTATGTTGAATAAATTGAAACAAGAGAACCTAAAAATGAATTATAATATATATATTTTTGTCAAAAAAGTGAATTATAATATATGATTTTTAATTAATTATTATATATAAAACTAGCACTAAATTTTAGTAATATCATATACATGCTATTTATAAAAATTATAGTATATAAAGGCATTGTATATAAAGCTAATATATGTGTTCGATTAATGGTGATATAATGTGAAAATAATTGTTCTTCATATATGTTTTTACTTTTCAAGTGGGATTGAACACTTGTCTATTATATGGGGGAATTACAATAAAGTCTTAAAAAAAATTACTAATAAATCCTTAAAACTTGTCTTTGCAGCCTGCTTTGTTATTACTGGGACTTTTTAATAATTATATTCTTATTTAAAACCTCATAACAATTCCCCGTATTATATATTGCCAAGAGCAGTAAAATTATACAGTAATAATGAACATTAGTTCATCGGATGGATTACTACTATTTTTATTTTCTTCATGAATAATAATAAAAAACTTCACTGCAGCCCAGGAACAGCTAAGTTGAAACAACTACACACAGCTATACACTTGCATTATTGTACAACCACTATTCATAAATTTAAAATCTAGCACTTGCTTTTCAGTCAAGAACGGTTTTCACAAAACTTCCAAAAAAAAAAGATCTACTGCGCTTCTTCCTTCAGAAGCTTTAATTTCATTCAGGGAAACAGTAACCTGCGATTCAGTAAATAAAATAACGATTAATGAAACTTGATAACCTTAATTGCCTAGAGTTTTAGACTAATTAAACTCACCCACATGGATTGCAAATCATTCATGTAAGCCACAGGGACTTACCATTAAAAACTTCATCGTCATGGACAACTACATTAATGGGGTCAACAATATCATATCAAATGTACACAGACACACAAGTGTAGGAAGTTGCAGTACTAACAAGTTGTAAAAAGTGAAGCTTATTTAGAGCACTAGGCCCATTCAAAGCAAAATCTAATAAATCTCATCTTAAATATAAGTGCCAGATAATTAATTTACAGTTATTGAGAATGATTAATGGGGTTTGTTATCTGTAATAAATGTGGTAGTTTACCTAAAACACCACATTCATTCATTTGAATTGAAAATTACCTGCATGGATTTTTTTTTTTAAAAGCCCTTTAGTATTGTAACCAACATGATTGTTTGAAAAAGAATTATAAATTTGTAAATAAAATGGATTTAGGACTTACAGTTGAAACCTAAACAATGCTCTTAACTAACTTCCACATTTAGGACCAAATACTTTTGAGGGAGCAAAATAACTAACCTACAGTAACCGGAGATAAAACACAGCTCTCTCATCAGTGGCGTTTATAGCAACTTGCCTTGTTGCGGGAGACTGTGTCTGATGGCTGATATTGTTCATCCTCAAGCCATTGGGCCTATCAACACATTATTTCATTTCCCAGTTCGATAAAATTCCCAGATAAGTACTGACAAAAGCAAAGACCATGGGAATCTGAAACCTGTTAATTACCTGGTTTTCTTCCGTGGATTTGATTAACTGGATTGGCATTAAGTTTAAAAACATGGTAAATGGGACGTTGTATTATCACTACGAAGACACATTAATGAGAAATTAATTGACAAGAGAATTAGTGACAAGAATCTGACAACCTTCGTTAGCCTCTGGTTTTCTTCCTTGAGTTCGTCTTCCTTTATTGACATCAAAATTAAACGCATCATTAAAACAAACAAGAGACACGAATGAAGACTCACAACGTACTACAAATGTTAACAAATATTTTATTAATGTCACATGTTACTATAACTAAAATATGGGATGGAGGAAGTGCCTTAGACACTACTGCATAGCATATTATATTACCACAAGACATGAAATACTGGAATTATAAACTCAAGTTTATGGTTAAACTTAATCAGATGTGCTAAGTTCAGTTTTGTGTGCATTTAAGTTGTTGATTGGTAAGTATAGACTTTTTGATAAAGTTATGTGTTTAAAATTTAATAAAAAACATGTGCTTTAGTTCTCTATGAGTTTATGTAAGTTGAGTTTACGTGTCTTTAATTTGAGGCATGTCGTTTGTGGTTTTTTGTAATCTCTATTAAATATGGGCTTATTTGAAGGGTTATGGAAATTACTCTCTCCATTCCTTTTTAATGGTCACTTTTTAAGAAAATGCTTGTTTATATTTATCTGTCATTACAAAATTTGAAGATAAAAATAATTACCATTTTCTTCATTCTACCCTTGTCTTTACTAACTTCAGAATTCCAAAGGCAGCATTAATTACTAAAATAAAAGGTTAAGTTAGAAGGAATTAATTCTGATCAATACCTTCTCATTATAACAGAGAGGAAAAGACTGAATATAATGCATAGAATGCTTTTGATAAACAAATATAACGCTAACCTTTTTCTTTAGAATATTGATCTCCTGCTCAAATACTTTAACCTGAAACACATGGAATTAGTTTCTATCGGTTATAAATCTTGCAAGCTGCTTTTTACCCATGCCATGGAATCAAAAAACAGATAGAACTTACAAGCGCATCATAGCTGTTTACTATTGCTAAATAGTATAGAAACAAATGAAAAAAGAAGAGGCAACGTTATAGTGAACAGCAAACAGTATCAATAAATTCTAATTTATATAACAAGGTAAATAACATTGCATATTATCTCTCCAAAAAATGCTTTTTTGAATCAAACCCCATATGAAGCTCGGAAAAGCAAGAAGCCTCAGGTAAGCCACTTACAATTCTTAGTTGTCTAGCATATGTGTAGGTTAAATTTCATTCTTCAATTGATGAAAAATTGAAAAAAAGAACTAAAGTTTAAATTGGCTATAGTAGTCAGACCAAAGCATGTCATCTGTATAATCTTGTAAGTGTTAACGTAATAGTTGGCAGGAATATTCTATCCAATGAAGAGGCTAGTTGGTAATGGAATATTAACAAGGGAGGCATTCTTATTTGAATCCCTATAGAATAGAGTTTGACAATAGACAAGCAACACCACCCTGCATTGACAAGTCCATATTCTTTCTCATTCACCTCACCTAGTGAAAGAAGTACCAAAAGATCAACAAGTTCTTCAGCATCAAGATCCTCTAGTGAAATACCACCAAAAAATTCAAGCGCTTACTAAAAGTAAATTTATGCATTTTGTAGTTTTTCTGTGTATGTCTCGAACTCCCACGCCCAACTTCTTTAGAAGCAATAGAAAAATTTGAGCGGCAAAGTGCTACGATAGAGGAGATTCAAGCCATTCAAAAAACTCGACATGCATGGGAGTTAGCTGTTCATGAAGGCAAAAAATGTCATAAGGTCCCCGGGGGTAGAGCTGTTAGAGCCCAACCCATTTAAACCCTTTTAGATTGAGGACCAGCAGGCTTAAAAATTAGGTCCCAAAATGAGTAAATGGGTTAGACGTTGGGCTCATTTGGGTCAAATAATTAAAAGGCCATCCCTTAAATATATGTTTTTTAAATTTTAAACTACTAGAGACCAAGAGAGCTTCAGTCCCTCCATCCTCACACCAACTGCCCCCAGATCTCATTCTCAAGCTTCAATTCTTCACTCTTCCTTCAACTCTCAAAGTCTCACTTAGCTTGGTTGTTCTCCATCTAGATTTGATGCGGTGTAAATTGTTTGTGATTTTATCCTTCCCCATTCCTCTGCTGACAACGCAGTGTCCTTGACTTCTTTCTCCTAAGCTCTCCTTCATTCCTCTTGTGCTCTACTCTATCATACTCCTCTTGTTCTTTCATTTAACATGGCTAATGTTCTATTAACATAGAGTAGTTATTATGAACTGGATCACAGCATGTTTGAATCAATTATTTGTGCTTAATGTTAATTTTGTTTGTTCAAACACGCATTTATTTGTTTAGTTGATGCTTGGCCAATATTAATTATGAATCAGGAGGATTAGGGTTTTCCTTGACAAAGGGAATCTTGATTATGGATATAGATTGGGAAAGTGGGATTAGATGTGTTCTAATTTGCCATTAGGATAAACATATACCTAACGGACCCTGTATAATCATTAAAGAGTAGCTTTGGATTTTATTGCCTCTTGAGTAATTATGCTGGGAATGGCATGTTTAACACTTTACGAGAGGAGTATACCTGAATCAAGAGACGTTAATAGCCACTAAAACTTCATATTAACTAAAACGGATTACCATTATAGGGCATGTGGTTTTGGAACAAGAACATTACCATTATGGCTTATATATTTTTTATTTCAAAATGTTAAAAAATAGCTTTTTTTGGCCCGGACCTTACTAATGGAAGCATTTAAGAGTATAAAGCTCGATTTGTTTTCAAGGGATACTAACAACAAGGTATGAATTTTGAGAAGACTTCTCCAACTCCTCAATCTGAAATTGTGAGAGTTGTTTCATTTTTGGTTTCTTAGTTGCAGTTACCTGTTATCAATTTAATTCAAATTCTGCTTTTCAAATGATGAGTTAGAAGAAATTGTGACATCCGATAATTTAACAGGGACATACATGAAAATTTGTAGGGACCAACTTGTAGAGAATTATATAGTTTTGAGGTTTTATCCTAATTATGTATAGTGAAGGAGAAGTTGTGGCAGAAATATATAACTTCACAATTATGGTACAAAACAGTCCCCTCAACATTAGAATGTACAACAAGGGAAAGTATGAGATTTACAAGAGATTAAACCATATCTTTCTATAAAAGATGTATTTTGATATATTTACCCCTTCATAAAAAAAATCTTTTAAAATATTAATCCTTTTATGGAGTAAATCCTACACATTATAAACCCCAATTTTCTTTTGCCGCTCGGCCAAAAAAAAGGCAACGATAGCTTTACTAAGAGGCAGGGAAGGAAAAAGCAAAATGAAAATTGAGAAAGTTATCTACATCACTAACCTAAACTTCCCTCCTCTAATTCTACAAGATCTAATCCCTCCATATGTGGAAAATTCAAAATTTAAGGCAACTTGTTGAGATAGGGAGTTATGATTAGGATAAAAGATATCAAATAGACAAGAGGCGAGTCTCCCATCAATTTTAATGTAAGTTCCTTCTTCTAAAATTAAAGATTTCAAGACTTTGGATTTTGCATCAATAACTTCAAGAATTTCTTTCTTGAGAAGCCCTGGTGTACTAAGATGTTAGGCAGGACAAAAGACATGAAACTAGACAGGTTTTTGAGTAGGCTTGTGAGATTATTGATACAATCTTTATTTGGAGCGCTTGTTGTTGTAAAACAAATAGTACGGAAACCTCTTACGAGTAAAAGCCCAAAAGGAGAGCTAAATCTCATAAGACAGTATATTAGAAAAAAGAGCTCATTAAACTTGTAAATCACGCTACACTTGTGAGGCTTCCCAATACCCTTGATATTGTCAATTCTGCACAAGATAGCAATACTGCTCTTCTTATATGTCTGTCTTGCTTGAGGCCTAGTTTATTTTATGCAGTTTTATGTCATAAGTAGATCTGTACTCAAAGTTAGAGCCTTGAATAGTTAAATATTGCCTCTTTGGCAGAGAATTATACCCTTGTGGCAAAGAAACTCGAAGGCAGAGCCTGTATAGTAAGAAAGCCTTGTGGCTAAGAGATGTCTTTTTGGCATAATAAGCAGGCTAGGTAAGGGGGAGAGTGCAGTGGTTCTTTAATAATGAATTCTAGGTGTTTATGATATCATCTAATTAATATGTATGTCATCTTTTATATGGTGATTCATTTGATGTTATTATATATGTGTATTCCCTTCCTATTGGGATTTTCCCCAAAATATCATCCCCTCTTGTCAACCCATGCTTGGTGAAGTTAGCGGAACATACAATGACAGGCAAGTTGTCAATGAGTTTTGAGAAGAATAATCAGGATCTAATTCAATTTAATTCAATTATGATTCAGTTACATTTGGAATAATTAAGGGATGAAAAGCATCCCATAATTGCGTCAGATTTATCAGGTTTCTCTTATTGGAGTTATAACGGTCAACCTAAGTTATATTTGGCATATTCGGTAACTTATAGTTATAAATATATAAAATGATTTATGAACAGAGATTTGACAGGACTATGAATGATTTTCCTATAGGATATGAGGATTACGAGACTGTTCATTATCAATTATAAAAGGAATGCAGATAAGGTTAGTTAGTGCCTTAAATCGGTCATTGTGAGCACTCGTTAATTTGCATCTTGCACAGTTGAAGGGTCAAATGAGCATCAAACAAGAAAAATCATTTTGTATAACTAAAGGGCATGTAGTGCATTAAAACTAGAATTTATTTAGGTTACTTCGATCCCTGTAGCATGAGGCAAAGTTGAAACACAATACAAGAGAAAATGTTTAAACATATGCATTTTATTATGAGGATATAGTTGATTTTTAATCTGTGATTTAAAATTATCTTCACTAAAGGGGAAAGAATTTTAGAACATTGCTAACATTCTTCGCTGGAACCATGGATTACGATAGCCTTATGGTAGCCCCCTTTAAAAAAAAGAAAAAAAAGTAGCCTTATGGTAGCCAAAATACAAAGAACAAAAAGGTAGCTTTATAAAGAGACTTTAGTTGACCTTTCTAATGATAAAAGAATAGGGAGATCTTAACCTTATCTAATTTTTATGTCATTCACTTCCTACTTTTTATGCTGCAATGAATATTTGAAATATAATATATAGTTTTGTCATTATAAAAGGGATAAATCGAATATTATGAGCTAAACAAGATGAATAACAGTCAAATAGCTTCTGCATATTAGACAGTTATTTCAAAGGGAAAACGACTAAAAAAAATACATGTTGAATTTCAAAAAGACAAATAAGCCATGGTGACTATTCTTGTAATGGTTTAGACTACTCTTGTAATGATTTTAATAAGCCAAAATTGGTCAAAATCACTTATCTATCATTTTGAAATTCAACAATATTTTTTTTGTTAATTTTTCCTTTTTCTCAAATAAGCCATTGTTTAATCGACAGTTGATAAATGTAATTTACGGGATAAAACAATCATAAAATATTTCAATTTTTGTAATACTGTCATGAAAGGAAAAGGCAAACCTTTGCTTTTGAAATGCGATGCAAGCTTGTGCTAAGTAAATCTTCTAGCTTCCTCAGATCTTTTACAGACAGCCCTTGCAGATCTTCTCCGTTGAGCTGTCTATTATTAGAGTAGAGCAACATATTTGAAGCTATAATAAACACATTGTAGATCCCCCATTATAAAATCTTTAGCACCATTTAATAATGGTAATAGTAATACCTTATTTCAAGAGTGTTCTCTTTTACTTCCTTGTTTAGCTTAAAATATTCACCTTCCACCTGTCCAATTGCCATATGCTTTGCACATTCAATAACAAAAATTTTAATATACTCCAAGGATTTTCATATTAGGTATGTATATAGTCCATCATATCCTTGAATTAAAAAAGAAGTTACTGTTGAATAATTATAGCAGTAATATAATATACTCCCTCCGCTTTTAAATATTAGTTAAGAGGTTTCTTTTGGTTCTAATTGAAGTAGACCTCAGTTCACTTTGTATTCCAAATTTATAATTTTTCTTGAAATTATCTCTATTTTTTATAGGCATTAATATCCCCCTATTAGAGGCAGTCCTAATTGCACAAATAAAAGGAGTTTTCATCAATGAGTGTAGTTTCCAATGCCAGTGACTAGAGGGGATATTTGAGGATAACCAACACACATTTTTTAACAAATAACTAATTAAATTTTCAATATCATATTAATTTTTATTCTCTCTCACTATCCTTGTTAAATATGGGCATATATGAGAATAATATTTAATGCTCATTGAAACGATCAAAATGTCTTATAACCAAAAATATTTTTGTAAGATTTTTTATATACAGACACACAGACAGAGAGATGGGAAAAAGAAAGATGAATCAAAACAGCAATAGATGAAGGGGTAGAGAGCAGAAGAAAAATTATATACCTGTAGCTCTTGAGGTGGCTGGTATGACTTCACAAGGTTCACATCTGAGTATAGGTTTCTCCTTTCAATTACTTGCCTCGTGCTTAAAACAACAAAATATTGCAAATTAAAATGGAAGTCATACTTTAAAACTACTTCTAACTGAATTATATAGCATAAATTATCATTTGATGAATTAAAATTATTTATCGAATTTAAATTTTAATGGAAGTCATACTTTGGCTGGGGGAGGGGCACAATGAAAGTCATAGTTAAAATAAGTGAATTTAAATACAGTATTAAATTTGTTTATATATTCAATCAGTCATGTATATATATACCAATGAATTTATTCTTAGTGGCCTCTATGGCAAAACATTACAGATGCGTGTTTTATTTAGAGATATATATATATGTGACAATAATGTGTAATATAATAGCATCTGTTTAATTAACCGAATCTTGACTCCAGATAGACTCATTCAAAATTATAACATTTAAATATTGCCATTAATGGATATCAAAACATGAAGACAACAAGGAAAACCTCAAGAGCAATCTGTTATAAGTTGATAGCCTTACAAAATTTTTAGTATCTTCAAAGCAAAAGTGACCTGACTGTTCCAGTAGCATGTTCTCATAATCCTCTTTAAACTGTTTTAATCCACCTAATTAATCAATAAAAAACACAAAAAAATTATGAACTAAAATTTAATTTGGGATGTTCTCTATTGACCTAAAAAAGAAAACATCCCTACCTCTTTAAAATATGCCGTATTTGTACTTCTCTAGACCATTTAAATTAAACTAGAAGATTTAAATCATCTTTTGATATTTTTTATTTTGAAAGAAACATGGTAAAAAAATATATACAATTTTCCAACACCATTGAAAGTGATTTTGAATAAAAATAGAATTAAAATGTTGAGATAAAAACTATCTCACGTACAGACTATATCTCCCTAGAGATGAAGAGAGGACATGCTGTACTGCTTGAACAGCGTATTGTGGGCCTTTTTTTTTTTTTTTTTTTTTTAAGAAATCAAAGACGAATACATTATTCTTGACTTGTGAATAGTGTAGTTTCTTGTAGATTTTATATAATTGATATAACTATATTGATTGTTATGGCAAGGATCATATTTTTTTTTTTACAGAAGGAAAATAGCATCTTGACATTAACAAAAGCCTCCGGAACCGAAGCAGCTTCATGAAATCTAATATTCCTCCATACATGTGTCGTTTTCGTTATTTTCAAACCACTATTTTGTACTATTTTAAGTTTTAAACGTTGATTATTGTACATAATATTCACATGAACGTTGAACAAATTCCTTGGTCTCTCTTCCAAGACTATCAAGATTTCAGTGTTCAAACTATTTTAGCAGCAACCTCAAGACATTGTAGTAAAAAGATAAAGGTATAAGCAAAACACAGTTATGATGAGATTGCTCATTATTTCCAATTATACCCACATGATTAATTCTCAGATACACACATATATAAAAGCACACAAAAGGACTCTATCACAACTTTTTGGTCAGCACATCGTGTTCAAGCTTTCCTCTTACAGCAAGAGAAGTACTTTGTGGAAGCAACTTCAATCTAAATAATTTCAATTAGAGAGAGAGAGAGAGAGAAGGTACCTTGTACTGGCATAACAGAAGGTAATTTTCACCAAAACATGAACATGGTAAGTGATGATCAAACAGATGAGATACATAAATGCTGACACTTCAAAAAGAATAGACAAATGAATTATGGGGTCAAACTTGGTATGCTAATAATCTCGATTCTAGGTTGAGTTATTGTGCTTTTTAGAGCCATTTCATGTAAAATCCCACTCTATCAAAACTGAAGGAGATTATATAGACAAATTTAGAAGAGAGCACAAATGAGACGAATAAAAGCATACGCTATCACAGCTTCTTTATCAGCAAATAAAGATCAGGATTCCTTTTCCTCTAAACAAAAACGAAAATCCCAGACGTGATTAAAATTCAGATTATTCTGATTCCTAGGGATAGAACACACATATACATTATATAGAGAGAGAAAAGATACCTTGTACTAGCATAATCAAAGAGTTTGCCCGAAGCTGAAAATACTAAGAGAGCAATCTCAGCATCACAGAGAGTTGACAGCTCCATAGCCTTCTTGAATAGACCCTTCCTTCTCTTTGAGAAAGCCACCTGCCTCGCAGCTACGTTCTCGATCTTCTTTATTGCTATCTTCCTTCTCGTCATTTCAGCCAATCTCTCCTTCAAACTAAAACCAAGTTAAATCAAAGAGAAAGAATTGGGGAAATCTAAAGATTTAATCCAGTCTCATACAAAAATTAATTACGCAGAAGAATATTATCTGCGTGTTAAACGAAAAAGACAAGCATAAAATGAAGAGAACTTGGATTGGGTGTAGGTGGAGAAACAAGATAAAAAGAGTTTGAGGCTTGGATAGGATAGATTAGGAAGGATAAGTGCAGATCTAAGTAAGAAATACAGAGAGAAGGGGAGGTTTATTCTTGAGAAGGAGAGCGAAGTGTTGTTACCTGCAAGAATATTCTGAAATGTGATAACTGAAGAAAGGATGAAGGATAGAGTCTTGGTGAGCAGGAAATTATTAAGGCGGAGACAGGCTTCCCTAAATTTTTTTTTAAAAAAAAAAAAAAGGGAAAAAAAAATGAAACTCTTGCGGTGGGTAAATTGACTGCATTGATTGCAGCTTTATACATGGGCACACGCATTCGCCATTTAGTGCCACGAGTCTGGGATCACTAATTCACTGAAAAAAAAAAAAAAAAGCTACCACTCTACTCCTCGTGAAGAAATTTTTTTGTCAAAAACATCGGTAATTTGTAGGGTATTTAACGATTATTTTCTAATTTTGTGAGCTCTTATTTAATTTTTATTGAAAAAAGAGAAAAGAAAGATAACAGGTAAGAATGATTTCTAGATAAAGAGAAATAAAAAATTTTAATGAGGGTGTGTTTGAAAAATTTTATCCATAAATGCAGTTTTTAGTATGTGAGAATAAGTTATAAGTAACTTATAATAAAAACTCGAGTAGTATTATATTTTGAGACAAAATTCTCCTTACATATTTATTTTATATAATATAAAATTACTAAAAATAAATTGTGTTAAATTATATTTAGTATTCTAAAGTATTTTTTTATGGTATTTAGTATCAAAAACTAATTTTTTTTATATTCATTTAGCATTTTAAAGTATTTTTTTAGTAGCTCCTAATGTTCTAAAATAAATTTTAGTACAATTTTGTCCCTGAAGCATTTTTCTAATAGCAAGTAGTACTCTCTGCACTTATGATACTGAATATTACTAAAAATATATATTAATTATGGTGATAGATACACCAAAAATTATTTTAAGATACTATATGTTATTGAAAAATTGTTTTAGAGTGTTGGAGGATGGAGTGAGGGAGGAGGTATTGTTGGCGGCAGCACCTGCAAAAAATAGTTAATCCAAGTCACGTCCTAAGGACGCTGTCCTTAAGAGCTATTCCGCAACCACCGGTAGATAAGGATGTGGCACTCCCCAGGATTAAACGGATCCTTTCTGTAAAACAGGGTGAGCAGAACAGCAGAAAATAGTAATAAACTCAGCAAGTAAGAGAGCACACAAGAGGGGGAAGAGAGGAGTTCGAAAACTCTAGAGTTGTGTGTGTAACCTTAGAATGAAACACCCTTTTATAGGCCCCATATATTTTGAACGTTGGCAGCCTTCTTTTCACATTAAGTGGTCAGTTTTATAGAATTAAACGCATGCCATCAATTTAGGGACGTTGCAAAATCATGGACGTTGGGAGTGAATGGAGAATCCGTTCACTATTTCAAACATTCTTAATATATGATTGTTTAATGTATTAAATGTATTTGAATGGACCTGATTTCAAATTGCTTCAACCGTTTTTATTTAGATTGAAGGGACCGTAATAAAAAACCTGCCGTTTTTATTTGAAACCTTCCACCGTTTGATACACACAAAAATAATAAATACTCATTAAGAATTTTCAAAACTCAATCTTTAAGCATTGAAAATCCGTTTATGATATTAAAACTCTACAATATTTGATTTTCCTATTCCTAATAATAATAGGAAAATCTGTCCATGATTAATGCTCAATTTTTATTTTTATCTTCCCACATTCCTAATTAATGTAGGATCCTTTCTTTGACACACCCAAAAAATATTACAACAGGTATTTGGTTATTCTTTGAGCACATTGTTCATCCCTCCTGTGCTATAGGATGCATTTTGAAAACTAAAAGTTTAAATTATAAGCTGCCTAGTAAGTGCAACGGCTTATTGGGACAGATAAACAATACACCCTCTTAGAAACATATAAGAAGTTTTCTCCTTGTACAGCTGGAAAAATTCAAAATTCTGTCTATGTATAGAATTATGATGTCAAATAGATTCATAAAATCATCAAATCCATTAGACTATGATTTAAATTAAATACTTTTTTCTTATTCTTTCCTGAAAAAAGAAAATCACTCGTATTCGCAACCTCACGACTCAAGCTAGATAACTCTCAAATAACTCAAAGGAAAACAAAACCTTTAATTAGGCATTTTATTTCATTTATTGAGGGGTCTCTTCCCCTTTTCTTGTCTATCTATTAAATTATCAACTACCTAGTAATTGTTGGAATATTTTTAAAATGAAGAGATGTGTTTTTGAAAAGTCATGTTCTTATATAAATTTATGAAATTAATAAATTTATATGAGGGGTTCTGTCTTCATATAAATTAATAAATTTATTTGACGAGTTGTATTCTCACATAAATTAATATATTTATATGAAAAATTGTGTCTTCATATAAATTAATATATTTATATGAAAGGCTATGTAGGTAGTTACAATACTAAAAGACCCTACATATTAAATACATTTTATTTATTTAAATTATGTTAGTTCATGAACCAACATATGGGACTTGTATTTAATAAAGTATTATTTCAAAAGGCATCTCTTCAAGACATCATTCCATGGTCTGTATAAACCCGTCACCATCACTTCATTTGGATACAACACAATTCAAACACAAAGATCAAACTCACTGCTTTGTCTTTGAGTGAATGTAGAAATAGAGTCAAATTATCACCTTGCCATTGTTTTATTCGCTTGAATCTTGGAAGTGCAATCCATATTCAAGAGTCTTCATTGTATCTTGAAAGAAATTTGCCAATCAACCCCACTTGCATCCTATAAGATAAGAATAGATAGAGGAGAATTAAGCCTAAAGGAAAGTGTTGCCCATACCTTGAAGACATCGTACACCACTTTCTTTTTCCTCTCTTCTTCTTGTACTCTTCACAAAACCATCCCTACCAGCAGTAATAATATTAGATATTTTTTATTTTATTTTTATAATTTTAATAGCCACTTCATTTCTCTTTAATTTAATTGAAATGTTACAATATTTTCAAATCAATTAAAAATTTAACAACTTTTTTAATTTTTGATAAGAAAGTGGATAAATGACGAGATGGGAACACTTCGTCATTTGAGGGGGGAAAAACTAATTATAATTCTTTCTAATTGATAATTATGTCAGATCATATTAACAATTAATATTAAATAAAGTGAGTGTTAAAGTATGTATAAAACTATTAAAGTTATTAACAATTTTTAGATAAGATATCAAAATATTATTTTCTAAAAATCCCTCTGACAATTCATATATTTTTGTCCAATGTTGATGACTGAATATATTAAATTTTATTATGTTTGATGTACAGATATTTTCTAATTGGAAGCAATTCTATTTGAGGTATTGGCAGACACTAAACGTTAGAAGACAGTGCTTTGAATATGATTATTTTTAATAGGAGAATACTGATGCCTAGAAGAAAAAAATATCTTGATTCAAAAAGAAAATAACTTTAAAAAAATATCTAATATCTAGTTTTGAATGAATTCAATAATGCGTGTTAGTTTTAAGAGATAGGATGAACGAAAAAATTTACCTATTATACTATCAAAAAGAAACACCAGGCACCGTAATAAAATGTCAGGGATAAAAATACTCATTAATTTTTCAAAACGGGGCAAAAATGCTATTTTTGTTGACTACCCTTAACCTCCATCACTTTTTCTTTTGTGAATCCCACTAAGCATACACGTGTTTCTTTCTCACTACTCACTTTGTCGTCTACTCACACATTATCACACACCCTCACTTTTTCTTTTCATTTCTCTATCTCTCTCCTCCCCTCTCTTCTTCGCCTTTTATTTTCTCCAAAGTTGGACACACACAGTCATCAGAATCTAGAAGCCATGAACACTGGCATTGCTAACTTCCAATCCATTCTTGACAAACCCCTTAGTTAGCTCACCAGTGAAGATTGTCACAAGTTCCGTCTTTCTTTCTCTCTCGTACATTTTTTATTTCACTACAAAAAAATAGCTCATTACTGACAAAAAATTATTCTGTTGCTAATTTCTAATAGATTACCAATAAAAATTTCGTCACTAAATTTAGCAATGGATTAGTGACAAAATTTATGTCCGTCGCTAATCCGTCAATAAATATTTAGCGACAGAATTTTTTTCATCAAAAATTTTCATTGCTAATTCTATCACTAAATTGTTTATCATAGAAGTTTTCATCACTAATTCTGTCACAATTCCATCACTAATTTTAAATTTTATTATTTTAGATTATAACCTTACAACAATTTATATAATAACATGATTAAGAATATAATGATTTAAATATATTTTTAATTGTAAAATAAATTGATATATTTGTAGATTTGGTGTTAATGAAGGTATCATCATCATTCATGTCATCATTAAGTACATATTGAGAATAGGAAGACAATTTCTTAGAAAACTTGTTTATATTTCATTAAAATCAATTCCTCTTGATTATTAATAATAATTAAAAATAATAAGAATATTAATAATTTTCTTATACAAACTGATACAAGAAAGAAATAATTTTGTCATATGTATAATATATTGAAAGATATAATATATAATAGAAATTCAAAACCAAAAAATGAGTTTATATGAACACAAACTAATATTGAAGTGAATTTTGAATTTCAATCATTAAACAATAAAATTTAATTGTGATATAATTAATACGGATAATATAGATTGGTTTTGGTCTTCTATGCAAAAACAAATGATATAAATAAAGAATTTTAAGAAAATAAATTACATAGGATATATACATATACAAGGAGGAGAATATTGTTTATTATCATCTATTCAAATCATTTAATTTTTTAATAGAATAATTGATTAGATTTTATTATAGTAGTTATTTTTTAAATAACTAGATTTTTTTGCTAACTATAAATGGTTTTCATCAAATATATAAAACATATATAGATAATATAATATAATAATTATAATTAAATTGGATATCTTATCAATGTTAATTAAAAAATAAATTTTAAGAAAAAATTATTTATGATTTAAAATTCAAAATTAGTTTCATTGGAAATTAAAATTATATTAAAAATATTTTTAAAATAAAACATTATAATATAAATAGTAAAAAAATATTTAAAAAATATTTTGTCATTAAAATAGCTATGATAAAAATTATCATATAGTTTATTTTTAGTTTTTAATAATATATATGTATATAATATTGTTTGTGTAAAAAAATATTTTATATATATATAATTTTGCATAGTAAGTCAATAGGCTCATTGCAGCTCAACTGGTAAAGCCGTATGCGCCCACAGATGAGGTCTCGGGTTCGAGTCATGGAGAAGTCACTTTGAGGAGGAATTATGAGGTGGTGACGTGTGGTAGGCAGAGGTGAGATGACAATGACACATGGCGATCATCGCTGAGGTGGTAAGGACACATGTTTAGAAGAGTTCTTTGCTAGGATTTAGAGGTTTTAAAGCTTAGGAGCTTTGAGCTTGAAGTTTGAAGGAGATTTGGAGTTTCATTTCTCATTTTTCTAGTCAATCTAAGATTATTTTGATCTATTGTATGGATTAAAACTTATTTTAACTCTTTCTTTAATATTAATGATAATGTTATTTTGTTTTTACCTTGAGTTTAGTGCTTTCTTGTAATTGGCCACCACTTGAAGTGATTTGTTTAATTGGTTGAAACTTGAAAAAGTTAAATTGATCTTTGATCTTGGGTAAAAACCTGCTACATTGAAAGTTTATTCTATTAAATGGATGGTTTGTTGATAGAATAGAGATATATCTATTAATCTAGCATTGGTCAAAAAAAGATTTTGATTTTCAAAGTGTAATGTTGTCAACAAAAGCAAGAGATTGTGAAGGTTTATTAAGATTACAAAATTTGGTTTTGACTTGAGAAAGCTTAATTAACATTTGTGAACCTTAGACTGACTTAACTTATCATTAAAACACTAAATGAGAAGTTTTTAATCAAGTTTTATGAAATACAATAGTGAGAAATAATCCTAGATTCTTATTTGTCTCAAAGTTAAGTTTTTAGCTTCGATTTTAAGCTTTATTTTCAAAGTACCTTTCTGAGACAACTTCATTTACACATTAATTTCACTTAACCTAATCATAAACACAATTGTGATTTTTAACTTGTCTGGCCCTAACCTCTAAGAGAACGATATTTTTTATACTACTAGCGACTCGTGCACTTAGAGTTAAACTAAATGGCGAACAACAGTGATGATGATATACTGTTGCTTTGATGGTGGGAAGACGACAATCATGGAGATACTTGTTATTTTTTTGTCTAACTTAAATATTATTTCGCCACATCTACCTCCACGTCACTAGTTTGAGTCAAAGTATTCTTTCTAAATAGTCAGCATTCATAGTAATGACATTTTAGGCCCCTTTTTGAATCATCATGGGTATTTTTGGCCCTGACATTCTATTATGGTATTGGTGCTCTTCTTTAATATTATAATAAGTAAATTTATCCCTTTACCTGATGACATAATATATACGAAGCAAATTAAGAAGGGAAAATTACACACACATCCCAAGGAGTAGAATTTATTCACCTAAGGTCACAAAAAATGTTAAGATTAATAGCAGGTCCTAAGATACCTTAGAGGACTATATTGCCATTTTAACATGGCATCCCTATTCCTCCTAATCTAAGGGTCCCAATTCAAAGTTCAAACACTCTCTCCCTCTCACCTCAGCATTTGAACAGCTTCCTGCCTCTCGTGTTGGCATCTAAAGTGAAGGAATCAGCCACCAGTAATATACAACTCTCTGATGAATAAACATTTATATGTTTCTATTTGAATAAAGACAACCTGCAATACACAGAAGGCCAAACTCATATTAGTGATATGAAGAATGAACTAATGGCCACATAAAAATCAGTCCCAACCAAGGTAGAAAACATAATGTTGTATCCTTTTTTCCCCCCTAATTTCACAGAATGAATGGACTGTATGCTTCTTAGGAAGTATCCCACTCGAAAATTGATCGGAATTATTTTAAAGAATTGAAATCTTCCTACAAATGCTAAAAGACTGCAGAGTCCATATTCAATCCAAACCACCAAACATCAAATGCACATAGTTCAAATTACATTAAACAAAAGCTGTCTAATATATAAACATGTATCAGTAGCTAGATAATCTAGTTAATTACCCCAGCCTGAGAGATGCATCAAACTATCAGCGTCTTGAGGAGGATTGTCAGATGAACTGCAAATGACGATGGAGTCAGAAGACTGGCCTCGTTCACGTGCAAGTCTCTGTAAGTGTGTGTTTGTGTTATGAGATTTTCAATTCTCAACATTTGAGAAGAAAGGCAATACTTTATAATAAGACAAGAATATAAATCTTTGATCACCTGCTTCAATGTTCGATTTTCTTCCATGAGTTGGATTCCCTGTACATGAAAGCCAAACAATGTAGTAAAGGAACCGTGAGCGTAGAACATCGTTAGTGTCATAAAATATGCAGCAAAATGTAGCTTGGATATTTTCTTGAAATCCATCATACTATTTCAAGCCTTTAATATAAGACCCAGTTGACTAATTTAGAGAAATTAAGAAAGTTACTAAATTATTTAATTATAGTATATGTTATATGATCTCTCTAAAATACTTATGGGTATCATTAGATTATATAACAATTTATAAGTGAGGGAAATTAGTTGGGAGAAAAATGATAAATATAAATAGTTTAAAATAATTTAGTAATTTTCTTAATCTCTTCAAATTAGTTAATTGAGTCTTATATTAAGAACCAAATGTAGTATCTATGATAGTGAAATCACATACACAAGTTTGTTAGAATGTGGATATGAATCTTCTCATGGGCTAGTTTCAAATTGAAGTGTCATGTGAAGAAAAGAACGAGCATCAAATCTCTTGGAATATATGTATTCAGAAAGGGATTCACATAGAACTGATCATTCAAGTGAAAACTCAAGTGACGCTTTGTATTATATTCTTTTTAAGACATGAAACTTCTCCCATTTCTCTATAAGTAAAACCGTCTAGCCAATTGAGAGAGTTAGTCCTCCTGGGCAATCTTCTTTTTATCCCTTTAACATACATTAACTGTCAAGTGTGAGACCCTCACATTTAGAAGATTCAGATCTTGTCTTGTGTCAGAAGATAGAGACTACTATATTTAAAAAAAAGAAAAAAGAATGATCTTCTCATCTCTTTATTATGTCGTCACACTTGTGGTTTTTCTTTATGGGGCTAATCACTAAATGGGAAAAAGTGAGGAATGAATTGACCTAATTGCTATTACAGAGATAGAATAAAGATGTAAAGTCGAGTAGTTTCTAATTGATGCTCTTCAATCATTTTGTTTTCTCTAATTATACCTGCTCTGAAAGACTCATTTTTATGTTTGGAACTATGTTTTAAGTGATTTAATGTATTGAGTAAACTTTTGTGTGATTGACATAAAAGTTTTCCCTGCTTCTGGATGTATAGATTATATACAATGAGATTTCCACACACCGATATTAATTGCTTGTATACGAGGAATTAAGTGAACATGACCAGTTGATGAAAGGCCAAATCTGCAGATGAATAATATCTTGCATATGCATAAATAGCAGATCCTAACATTCTAAGTTTGGTTTTGTATCTACCTTTCTCTTTAGTGCGTTGATGGGTTTCATGAATCTTTCATCCTGAAACAATAATCATAGTAAACATGTCAAACTCAAAATCTTGAACGCAATAACTACACAAAATCACAACTCATATAGCTAATCGGACAAGGAAGAAAACAAGCCAATTTGTTGTCAGGATGAAAATTAACTAACAGTTTTAATCACTAATTAAATTAGATTTTTTCTATGCACGGTAAAGGCATATCACTTTAAAAATGTAAAAATAAAGAAGTTTGATAAGTACCAAAACAGTGTCTTATAGCTGAAAATGCACACATCAGGTAGATTCTACACCAGCAAAGTAGAAGGTTTAAAGAAATATACTAAATCTTGTCATAGAGCATTAAATGATAGTAAAGAAAAGAAAAGATGCAATAGATAAAGAAGTTGGTGGCCTCTGACAAATTTATAAGATAAAGAAATATTTGCTTTTTGGGCTGTTTTCTTTTTTTGGGCTGAACCTCGGGGCCCGTTTGATCCATGGAAAGCACGAAAAATGGAATCGAATGTTAATAACCATAAATTCAGCAGGTATGATACTGAAAATGATGGAAGAATTTTATGTTTTATATTCGATTAAATAAAAATAAATTAAAATCAAATGAACCAAAATCCCCCCCATTATGGTTTCTCGGGTAAAGGGTATTAAAAATAGTGTGATTCTAGCATTTGGGAATCAGGATTGATCACATTTTTATGGAGAATCATCCTCCCAGTAGTGTGATAATTAGACTACCCATAGAATCAGGATTCATACAACAAAAACCAAACCAAACACATTAACAATGCAATTGAGATTATTAGGAATTGGGGTTCTAAGAATCCAATCAAAGAAGCCCTCACAGTTCAAAAAATTCTATGCAAAATACTAGAATAATACATTTTAATTTCTTTGCATGTAAAATACAAAATCTATAAAACAAAATCTTACTCTTTCTGTCCCAAAATGCAAGTCACTTTGAACTACTTTATGCAAACCAGTAAAGTTGGTTAAAGTTAATTAGACATCTTGTACCTTTCAAAAATTACTTGAACATTCCAAAATAACCCTTATTAAACTGTACTCTCATATCAGTCATATCTCTCTTAGTGTCTCTCATAAATAGGGGGCAAATTTGGAAGGAAAACATTTAATGCTCACTACATTCTATGAAATATGACTTACATTTTGAGTATCCCAAATCTTCCAAAACGTGATTAACATTATGAGACGGACAGTGATAGTATTTTGCATAGAACTTCACAAATTTTAGAAAGCCCAAACTTCAGAGGATCAAGGGTCAAGCATAAAAAGGACCAAATAAAAACCTTTGTTTTTGAAACTCGAGACAAGCCTCTTTGAAGTCTTTCCTCTAGTTTCTGCAATTCTTCAAGTGTGCATTCTTGAAGTTCTTCCCCATTCAATTGCCTTTAGAATTTAGTGCAAGTCATGTGTCTCATTAACATAATCTTCTCAACATTTATTCATGGTAGGTATGAATTAAAGTTGCGTACCTCAATCCACGAGTCCTTTCTGCTACTACCTTGTGCAGCTTATTCTCATCACCTCCAAGCTTGTACATATTTCAGAAAAAAGGATTAACCTTCCATGATTTTCCATTCCTTCATATGTTATCATAAATTGATTTCAATATTATGTCATCCCTCGAAGTAATTCTCCCATCTTTTCAGTTCTCCTATGGAGTTAATTCAAGACCTAGGGTTTTCTGTAGGGCAATGCAGCCTGATCACTTACTGTTAATGCATATTATGGAATATGCATAAGATTGGCCCCTATTCAAAGGAATCCATGAAGTATGAACAAGACAAAGAGTCAAACGGTACAGCTTAATTTCTTCAATGAGTCAAACGGTAAGTACTTCCTCAGATATTTAGTTGTCGAATTCCATAATGAATTAAACAAGAAACCATTTGTGCGCCCACGCGTGTGTGAGTCACAATTTGAGAGTAATTAACCAGAAAAGAAGTCAAGTATGTTAACCAAAAAAGAAAAGAAAAGGAATCAAGTTAATTAAAAGGAGCTATGTGCATTGACACAAAACTTGAGATAAGTCATGCTGTGTGATTGATATTAATATATTGATTACCTGTAGATTAGCATATGATTGGCCTAGTCTTTGAACAGCAGAATGTTTATCGTACCTTTCAATTACCCGCTGCATACTGAAACAACAGAAATAGTAACTCGTTTGAGTGACTTTCTATTTCCCTTCAAAATCAATCAGTGGAAAAGATCTGATCAGATCAATCAAGCATAGTTTTATGTCAAATTGTATGGAGTAACGAAATTCTTTCAGAATCCCAATGGGAAAACTCAGAACCTTCAACTGTGGATATCAATCATGATTCCGTTACTTCAAGTCTATGAAGTTACTTTCTCATTGGTTGACCTTTTAAGTTATTAATTACCAACAGAAACAGAAGTACTGAAACATACACATATAATAATCTTTAAGGTTACAAATGCAACAAGAATTATATAGATTCCAACTAGTGTTTATCAACTGCCAAGCTGGCTAGCTAGTTTAATAGACTACAGAGAATGAGATAATATGAGTTTAAATATAGATAGTTAATGATAATGAGCTGTGCACTTGTGCAGTTTCATATTTCATTCTTAAATCGACCACTGTGATATCATGTAAATCTCTCTCTCTCTCTCACACCTATAGAAATGCTTGTTTATGTATGTATGTATGAGAAATTGAGACTGATAATATGATATATAAGAACCTTGAGCTAGCATAATCAAAGAGCTTGCCAGTAGAAGAGAAGACTAAGAGGGCAATCTCAGCATCACAAAGAGTCGAGAGTTCCTGTGCCTTCTTGAAGAGACCTTTCCTTCTCTTTGAGAAAGTCACTTGTCTGCTATTATACAGTCAATTTTCTTTATCTGTATCTTCCTTCTCGTCATTTCCCTTCTCCTTCTCAGAATCATAGTAATGCGAGGTTATTATATACGGTAAATTATAAAGTGAAAAATCCAACACGCACGCACACAGCAAAGTTGAATTGGGTGGAAAACTGTACTTGAACTGAACAATAGAGAGGCTATACAGACAGTAAATCCAGTGGGTTTCACACGAGAGAGAATCCCTCCAAGAACTGACATATCGAATATGAAAATCGGGGGAGAAGAGAGAAAAGGATAATGCTTTTGCTGTTAAATAAATTAAACTAGAAAGATTAGTGATCTTGAAAGAAGAAATAATTAAAAACAATTCCAAAGGAAAGATATGTAGAACTATATGAGAATTTCAAACTCGGCAACCAAATTGGGTGAAGGGAAATTCATCCGTCTTTAAGGATGTGAAAAATGGAAAGCCAGAAAAAAAAATGTTTTTGGCCAAGAACCTCGAACTACCAAGTTACTGGGGCAAATAAGAAAACAATTGATAAAGCATTTTCAGAAAGAAGAAGAGTTAAGCTGGAGCTCATGAAAACAGGGAACCCTACATGAAGATTGTAAGAGATTTCTTGAATATTGTAGGCTTCTAGCTGTTGTCCTCCTTTTATCTTCTCAGCTTTGGTGGTTCCCACGTTAATGGCATTTCAAAGGAAATTGATATATGCGCCTTTTCCTTTTATGGGCAAGTTGATGTGTTCCCTGTAGCCACCACTTCTATTACATTTTCTTCTATTTCCCGTTTTACACAGTTGGCCGTCATAAATCTTTCTAGCTTAGTTTTATAAAGGGAAAGTAAAGGTAAGCTTGTTAACTACGAGAACTTTGGTTTATGCCTTTTCCTCGTTTTTTTTCCCAGTTAAGCATGAAAGGAATTATTTCAGATCATGTTGAGTAGACATATAATCTGATGAGTAATTTCAAGTGACTACCTTGACATGGGTTGTTCAAAGTGATCTTAATCCAAGATCTCAAATTATCAAAGAAATCATAAGAAATTTTGACAGACAATATCCCAAAACAAACAATCGGAGAAAAAGGGCAGTTAACAAAAAAAATATGTAGTAAAGATTCCTCTTCTTCACAACCAAATAAACAAAGATCCGAGACATGAAGATGGTGTAGTATTAGAAGAATATCATGAGAAGGCAAATTTTCCAATTTATTCATGAGAAATTATTACAAAATTATCATGGTAATTATTTTTATCTTTATCTCTCATTCAAATGCATTTTTTTTAAATGTATAAATACTAAAGAGAATGGTAGTTATTAGTCAAGGATTGCATAAAAAATTTAATACTTCCTCCAATTCTCAATATATACAAGAACTATTACATTTAAGGCATCATATTTGTACCATTTAAATATGAATTTGAATGGTTCAGATTTAATTTCTTCTTAATTTCTGTTATTTGTTATTAGCTAACATCATCATTTTGCTTTCTATTTTAATTTCATTTTAGACTTAGAAGACTCTAATAATAAAACTTGTTTTTAATAAAGTCCCATCATTAATAGGACTTAAGTAAGGCAAATTTACCTATATATTGCAAATAGTAAAAAAAAAAACCCAAATCTTATAAAATAAAAAGTATTCATTAAAATGTTACACTTGAAATCGTTCATGCAAAAAAATAATTCTAAATTTGTGAAGAAGTTGTTCTTAGATTTTAACTTAATATTAACTTTTTTTGTTAAGTTTAAAAGCTAAAATCATTCACTTGGTGAATGACTTTCCCATTCCTTCCTCTTTTTTTCCTGTCCTGTCTCTTACTTTTTATTTTTTTTCCCCTTTCTCTCTCCCATCCCACTCTCCCACATTTAGATAAAATGAATAAATGAGGTATGAAAATAACAAAATATGAAGATTCATAAGATAAAGGATTAAAAAAAATATAAAAATGTAAAAATCAGAAAAACAATCAAAAAATATTTATCAATTTTTTAAATCAATTTATTTAACTTATACATTAACATATAATTTAATATTACATATGAGTATTTTAAGAAAATCAAATCATGTTTGTTATAATTAATTAATTAGGTGATAGATGTTAGTTGTCACCCCACTATTATTGTCTTTTTCAGGGTAACAGAGTAAACATGGACTTGCTAATGTCACTTTCAGCACCTGTATAGGATCCTCGTATTGTGATATATTTATTTGAAACTTTTTCACACTATAATATTTTGACCTTTTTCTTTTCTTTTCCATCTAATTTTTTGTAGTGTATGGCTTAATCTATAAGCCTCATGTGATCTTCATTTGAACGTTCATGAGTTGAAATAACTGTGTCTGGTCCCCATGTCAGATCTTTTTAAGGTGAGAGAGAGAGAGAGAGAGTCCTTTCCTCATCACATTTATATTTATAGTTACTAGTTAAGAGTTAATATCATGAATTTTCTTCCACCAAAAAAATGTCCCCTTAATCTAATTCATTAAAAATAGTTAGAAATATTTTCCAAAAAAATCAGAAATAGTATTTATTAAATAAATTTTAATTTATTATTTTCTTTAGTTCAAAATATAAGAACCATTTTATAGTATAATTTACACTATAAAATTAGGTTTATATTTAGGATTGGAGGAATCTAGCTAGTTACTTACCTTTTGGTAAATCTTATTTTGGTAGTACTCCTCTGATCCTTAATATAAGATTTATTTAATTAATTTGATTAGATTAAGGAAGTTAGGTAAGTTAGTTAATTATAAGGAATATGACATGTTTTTCATAAAACATCATAATCATCTTCCTTAATATCCTCTCTCTCTCTTCTACTTGATTATGGTTGAGGAAAATTCACAAGGATAATTTAGAAAAAATTTATAAATATGATAAATAGGTCTTATATTTAAGACTAAAATTAACTCAATAATTAGGCCATATATTAAGAACCGGAGGAGTATCATCTATTTGAGCATACTGAAATAGAAAATATAAGGAAAAATTACATGTAGATCCCATAGAAGACAATTAATTTTGAAAAGGTCCCTAAAAATCCCCAAATGCTTCCTAAGTCCCCAAGGACCTTAGAGAAAAAATTTAACTTGTGGAATTACCTACTTGCCTTCACCGAATAACAACATGCACAGCTACAATCACAACCTACACAACAGCCAATAACAACCTACATTTAAGCCATTCACAACATGCACAGCAGCCAATCACAACCCACACTCAACCGAATGACAACATGCACAGCATACAATCACAACCTACACAGCAACCAATCACAACTTTTCCATCAGTGAGGGCAAGTAGGTAATTTACAATTTTAATTTTTGCTCTGAAGTCCCTTGGGACTTAGGAAGCATTTGGGAATTTTGAGGAACTTTTTCAGAATTAATTGACTTCTATGAGACCTGTGTGTGATTTTCCCAAAATATAATAACATGATATTGTTATGTTGATTATGAATAACATGTGTGTAGGGAGGGAGGGAGGGAGGGAGTACGCAATTCATTTTTATGCAATAAAATTTTAATGTTCTAATGAGAAG